GACAATAATTATCCTATAGTATATTGATGCTGCAAGCAAACATGTTTAAAAGTAAAACCTACCGACATTGGTCAATTCTGGATGCAAATTAGATATTTGTTCCACTGGGACAGGAGATTTACCCTCCCATATCTTGAGTGTGTATGTGTGTTTTTGATACTCCCTTCTCCCCCCGTTGTAGAAGCATCCCAGGGCTCTGCATTATTTTCGATTTGTACACACTTGCGAAATGGGGCGCTTTAGTAGTAGCCACGACAACCTGCCAAAGCAGAGTCTTTATGAATAATGGTTTTCATATTGCAAGTAAATAAGATTTAATAAGTAAACGACAATACACGATATATCATCGGTAAACTGGGCTCTTGTTCAATGCGGACTTTTTAGAACTCGGGTTGAGACATTCCATTTAAAGAAAAAAAAAAACAGATTTTTACACATTACCAGCAAGAAAGATCCCCGCATGGGAGAAGAGCCCAGTGCGCCGGACTAAAACGGCATAATTTTTAGGATGGATATAAACTGAAACATATTATAGGAGGAAATATTTTGTAACAATTTGAGGATAGCGAATAAACAAAAATACCTTCAGAAGGATAAAGTAACTATTGCTGATTAGCAGATCGATGTATTTAATGTTGAACTAAAAAAACAACAACCAAAAGTGCAGAAATTATAGAAGACAGAATAAAGAAGGACGAGTAGAAAGCTTTTTATGTAAGAAAAGGAGTAAATGTAAAGTGGTTCAATAGATCCGAAATGCCTTTCATTGCCCATAAAAGCATAACAGTCACATATACGATTTCCTATTATCTTAGTTTATAAACTTTCAACGAAATTTCACGGTTTCTTCACCAGTCGTTCCCTAAACATGCCGAGTCTCATTTGCTACTTTCGGATGAGTTATACCAACAATCAATACGAAACTAACGATTTCAAATTGGCTCACTACTTAACTAGCCTATTGGTCCCAAGCAAATCGATTAACGTACCCCATTCTAGTATAAATTCCAGTACTACACTATGTTTGTTTTCATTCGCTATGAAAGTTTGACAGATAAAATGAGGGGTTAGTGGATTTTCCTAAGTTTCGAGGGGTGAGTCGATTAGCTTGGGACCGAAGATAGTACCAGAGCTGAGCCAAAAAGTTGAGCTCGTTTCTTCGGGACCTTCTGGTCTTAGAGTTACCTCTATGGTTATACCAACAATCAATACGAAACTAACGATTTTAAATTGGCTCACCACTTTAGTAGCCTATTGGTCCCAAGCAAACGATTAACGTACCCTATTCTAGTCGAAATTCTAGTACTACGCAATGTTTGTTTTGATTCGCTATGAAAGTTTGACAGATAAAATGAGGGGTTATTGGTTTTTCCTATGTTTCGAGGGGTGATTCGACAAGCTTGGGACCGAAGATAGTACCAGAGGTGAGCCAAAAAGTTGAGCACGTTTCTTCGGGACCTACTTGTCTTAGAGTTATCTCTATGGTTATACCCCGTTCACATTACACCGTATATCACGTGATATACGCTGTCTTGCAATGAGCACTCATACATCTAGTTTTCACTGGAAATCATATGTATGAGTGCTCATTGAAAGACAGCCTATATTACGTGATATAGGCTGTAATGTGAACGGGGTATTACATGTTTAGCCACAACGCATTCCAAATGCCACTAAAAAACGAAGCTCAAAATTGCTTGCACCCATCATTTTCTTTTCGGAAACTTGGCGGGAGTCAAAATGGCCAAATTCCAGCACAAACTTGGTATTCAAAATTCTTGTTTTCTCCATACATTTTCGGAAAGAAAAATATATTAGAATCTTTTTACTTATGGTTTGAGAACTTTAACGGTAATGGTTATGGTATTCAGTAAGGTCCATGCATGGTGTTCACGCCGCACGTAAACTGCTTAAAATGATACTTGTTTTGACCATCATGGGAACCCGCCATAGCCCATAGTGCAGAAAGGCAGATTCTCTCCTTGCTACCTTACTTGAGATTCCACGTTATCGTATCATCTATACCAAAACAGCTGATAGCAGTCGATTCTGCAAAACAATACTAGACCAACAATTGAAATAGGCGGAACAACCAAACGTAAACAATGACTTTAAACGAGAATCAAAGCACATCCAAGATATCTAACATCATCATCTGATAAAGCAAACTTCCTTTATCGAATGGCATTGTTAGTTTGTGTGTGGGAGTGTTTTGATTCTCGAGAATTTTGTGCTTAAAGCCATTGTTTACGTTTGGTTGTTGCGCCTATTTCAATTGTTGGTCTAGAATAGTTTTTTTTAATATTATTTTGAGCTTCTCCACTATTCTTCACTTATTCAACACCAGATCTCATATGATCATACGGGGCAGACTGGAGGCCATTGTCCTATCTATACCCACGGTATCCAAGGAATATATACACTCAGGTCTTTTTTACACGGAGGATATGTACCGTGTAAAAAAAACCTACCGAGATTTTGATTTTTCACATGCTTAAATGTTTTTTTTTAAATTGGATTTTGATGCCATTTGTAATTATAGCATGCTATGGTCCATATAGACATATTTAAAAAATTTCTGTATTTACACCAAAATTTGTGATTTTTTTTAAATATGCCATTTGATTACCTATAGCTTGAAACGGATAATGTGATTGTAATCAAGTCAATAGGTGTTGCAAAGATGTTTGCCGAGGAAAATCTTATCATTGGATGGCGATTATAATAGTAGGATTTTCTAGTTAACATGGAGTAGTGACACAATTTATCATAGTGATGATACAAACGGTTATTGAACACGGTTATTTAGCACTCCATTACAAACATTTTGGCAGATTGCATAGACACGAAAAATATCATAGATGGGGGTTATTCCACTTTTGCCACTGTTGTCGTGGTGACGCGTTTCTCCATTTGATTAGCACAGAGAGTCACATCACCACGACATGACTTTTCTCACTTCACTAGTGACAAAAGTCGCTTTGACTCTCGGAATAACCCCCAAAGACTACGGCTTTTTGATTCAAAGACTGTATTGTCTGAAAACTGATCGAAGATTTTACTGATAGGACTTTTTCTCTTCTTTCGCACATGCACCGTACCATCACAATTCAGTCGCGATTTCTGAGGGTAATGTCAAGGAATTTAATAATTTATAATAAAATTTTACAATAATAAAAAAATTAAAGTAAAACCTTTCCTCTTAGTTTATACCGGGATTGATATATTTGTTCACTTCGAATTGCAGCTCACTCACGATTTCAGATTTGTGGTGTGGCAATAAAATGTTGAAATTTATAATTTATAATCAAGCAGTTTTGGCGTGACTTTCTACCAGCGATTTCACAAAACTGGACCAACTAATTTCTATTTTTTCATGAAACGCACAAATTTTGGCTACTTTTCTTGAGGTTCCAGAAAAATAATCTCAAAATAATGTTTTATTTCAAAGTTCAAGTGGTAGTAAACGTCATTTTAACTACTCAAATGAAGTAGTTAATTGAAAGAACACACCGTTTGCCGAAAACTTCAGGCGACCCGTCATAAAGCACACCAAATACGAACTCGTTTTTCTACCAGGCCTTCTCCGGATCATTTCGGAAATACATATTCCTGATTTTTCAACTTTGTTGTCCTACCATTGTTCTGAGACTACGCTTATAAGAGAAATTCAGGTAATTCATGCTGAAAAGAAAAACACATGGATTATTGAGTATTTGTTGCAAGAATACAAAACCAGAATAAATGATTACTCTGACAGCTTATGTTCGTTTATATTGATTTAATTTTATTTTTTTTACGAATGCGAGACTACTATGATTACTTTTGAGTAATTATGAGTTATACCCCTAGGGGCAAGCCAGCTGTACTCCGAGCTAATATTTTTATATCGAGTAAATTTGAGTTACTCATAATTACTCAAAAGTGATCAAAGTAGTCCTATGTTAACAAGTGGAATCAGGGCAACTGTCATCAGTTTGAATAAACATCGACGGCAACCCAACGAGTGCTTGTGACGAGGTTACGGAACCGATTTTGGAGATGGTTGATAATACAGTTTCTATCGTAAAAGCAAGGCTGCTTCTAGTATACCGTCGATTAAAGCGAAATAGCATAAAGCTAAATTTCTTCAAGTCAGTACTCATAGATGTGCGACTAGAAGACTCATTTATAATCTGAAAATAGAATGGAACAATTACACGATAAATGACAAAACTTGAGAGAGATGATGATATTTAGATGATATTGTTTGACATCTGGGAAATGAGCATAACAAAAACATGGTTGCTGAGTCTGCTTGTATTGAATTTTGAATAACTCGAGCTACTCAAAGTTACTCAAAATTAACTCGGTTTTAACTCATGATCAAAAGCTGTCTTGCCCCTAGTTATACCCCATTCACATTACAGCCTATATCACGTAATATAGGCTGTCTTGCAATTAGCACTCATACATAGGATTTCCAGTGAAAACTAGAACAAATTTACTCGCTGTGAAAATATTAGTTCTGAGTGCAGCCGTCTTGCCCCTAGGTAATGGTTCTTAACTACCCATTATTTGTAAGGTTCACTTCCATAATACATAACGTTTAAACTATATCACAGATGGAGACGAACCAGCCCAATGCTGAAAGTCACCTTAATAAAGATATAAAAGAAAAACTATCACACAAACCTATCATGTAAAGTTCCATAACCATTTCAGCTTAAGTTTAGCAGGGATTATAAACAATGTTTAACTATTTTCGGTAAGGTCAAGATAAGGTTCGCGTTTGTGCGGAAGGCGCATTCCCGTTGCAACACTACTTTTACAAAAAAAGGAAGAACAGTATATAATATGAGATCAAAGTAACCCTAAATTGAGTGTGTTACTTTTAGCGTATCCTGATGTTTACATCAGAACGCAGCCACTGCACCGATCGACGAGTTGACCCCCACCCCCGTACAAACCAAACAATTTACTTTCTTTTGTTACAATAAAACGTTTTTTTTTTTCTTCAATTTAAAGAAGATCCAGTTTAATCTACAACATTTGACAGGAAATTAATCAACTTAATTTATTTGTCCGGAATAGCTTCCAATCCCTAGAATTAAAAAGAAATAGTTTCAAATCATATTAACGTATGCACTACCGAATACGGGAATACGGTTATCGTTCAGGTTCAACCGAGGTCGGGTGTACAAAGAATCGTATGTTTTTGAAAACTGGCCCGGAACTTAGGTTGAACCGGAATAAAAAAAAAACAAATTCTATCTAGGATACTCACATTGCCCTTGTAGGGATTGCCAGTGAGTCGCATGTCCCGAACGTACATGACGCGTTCCCATCTCTGATCGGTGTTGCGCCGGTAAGCCTGCCGAGAGGAACTTCGTTATTATTCATACTATATATATTTCAACCACCATCGGTCTAACAACAAGCTGTTATGTAAACCACGGGCAACCTCGTAGATCTTCGAACCAGTAGTGTACAGTCGTTCCACTTACATTATCCAGAGCGAGCACATGCAGCCCATACAGGGCAAAACCAGGAACGGACAGTATGGCAGTGATGATGCCGAATGAGGGCAGGATTTCGAACCACATTGTTTACTTCTACCTGCAAATTCACAAAATAATGTCCTCCACCGAAAAAGTGACTGCAAAAGTCAATGAAGGACCAGACGGACTCCGAAAAGACTGCAAAACGGAATGACAACCAGAGCTGCCAGGTGGTTTTATAAAAAATCTGTATCCACTCTATTAAAAAATCTGTATTTTCTGTATTGACGATTTTTTTTTTCTTAATTAATCATGTTTTGTTGTTTTACAAATACAGTGCATACAAAATAACCATAAAAAGTGCTTAACCACCTATTCGGGCTATCGTACTAACCATACGGGATATAATTGCGCCATTTGTGATATCGTCCGTACATATTTATAAGAGTGATATAAAGCCGTTTGAAAATGTATGGAGATTTTAGTTTCTATTCATTATCTTCCTGATAAGCAGTTTTAAATGCAAAAAAGTGCACGAGTTCATTACTATTTGATATTTTTAATATAGATGAATACAATTAATTACATCATTTGTGTGGTAGTTACACCGAAAAGTCGAGAGATGTCGCCCCGCCAGTGCTGGTAAAATCATTTTTGCAGTATGGAGAATATCAGAAAATCCGCAATTTCTTACGAAATACATTTTCAATGCAAGTTAAATGTTTCTTGTATTTAATATACATGCTTATATTGGAAATATTCAATTAATACTGTAAATCCCCATACAATCAAAAAAGTTATTTTGTTTTTATAAATTTTGATTTTTTTTTCTCAAGCATTTTATAAAAATCTGTATAAATCTGTATTGTAATTTAAAAAATCTGTGATAAATCTGTATTCTGTATCGGGTCTGTATTAAGATTAAAAAATCTGTATAATACAGATAAATCTGTATTAATGGCAGCGCTGATGACAACAGTACATTTGACAGCTGTCTGAAGTAGGGGTGAAATGGATTCAAACGAGCAAGTCGAGCAACTTGCACAAAGGATGAATTTAGAATGAACACTGATGAAAAATGCTATATCTTGCTTGCAATCTATATAAAATTAAACGGCCAGGTTACACGGAAGGGAATAATCTGCTTTGATCGATTCTCTTCATCGACTTTCTCTTTTCATAACCACTGCTATGCAAACAGATTTCGCGCTAATTATACCATCTAGTTTGATAAAGGAGGATCTTTTCTAGCGCCCAAAATGTCAAATACAAAAGGGAAAGCTTTTGCAGCTGAGTTATTGATGAAAGAGAAAGTCGATGAAGAGAATCGATCAAAGCAGATAGGACCATTTGAAATGTTCATCGAGAATTGTGCAGTAGAAACCAAGGTTGCAAAGACTCATTTCAGCTAAAATAATGTTTTTCGGAATAATAAAACCAAAAGATGGTATGATGGCATGTTTTACTTGTAACTTACAAGAAGAGGTTACAAAGTATACGTTGGAAACATAAAACCTGTAAATTTGGCTTTCTATGAGTCACAATCAGCGATTTGCTGATCGCTGAGTGAGTGAGTGAGTGAGTGAGTGAGTTTGTGAAAAATCGCTGATTGTGACTCTCATGAAGTGACATAAACAGGTTTAATATGTCAAACACATTCTTTGCAACCTCTTCTTGTATCCTACCAATTCAAAATTTGATCATGGCATCTAATTATTTCATAATTTAGAAAAACATTGTTTTAGCTGAAATGAGTCTTTGCAACCTTGGTAGAAACTACAATAAGGTAAATTTTGCACCGCCGGGGTTCTCTAACAAAAATGTTATGGTTAATTTTCTTAACGACGTATGTGAGGTATCATCCAAACCATTTGTGGAATAGTTCAACCATTTATATTATCGTTCGTTTATGGTATATTTTATTATGGTTAACCACAATCGAATGACAGTTCAGTGCTACTGTTTTCGTGGACTTGGTCGATTTTTCTTGCGCCGGCGCCGGTGGTGTAGTGGTAAACGTGACTGCTTTCTAACACCTTGATGGGTCTGGGCTCAATCCCAGCCGAGGTCGGTGGGATTTTTCTGAGGCATAAAAATCTCTGATCACGTCTTCCTTCGGAAGGGAAGTAAAGCCGTTGGTCCCGGCCCATGTGTGTTGAATGGGTGCGATATCCTACGCAGGTGTGGAAGCTGCTTTCCTGCACATTCGATTGTCATCAATGGATGGCAATCGATGTCCGTCGGTCAGGGTTGCTTCCACTCACTTGCTATAAAAAATTGTTTTTCGGAATAATTAAATCATTAAGCCTGGTACGCAGCTGAAAAGTAATGACGTTTTTACGTGCTACGGGATAGGACACGGAATGCTAAAGAAATTTCTTTTCCTTAGCATTTCTTGACCCAGTACGCAGTTCAAAAGAAATCGGTAAAGGAAAGATCGATTACATTAGTATCGTGATCGACATGAAGGTGGCGCATTCTGAATGCAATTTCACTTTCCTTGCGGAATAATGGTCTGATCAATTATTCCGTTAGGTAATGTTGGTGTTTATTGCAAAACTGATGTTTTGGATGCATTTAAACAACAGAAACACTAATAAGTGTTGATTTTACAATTTGACCACATCTCCCTATAATCTCAAAATTTAGCAGACTATAGCTGTCAAATTTTCTTTTGGGAAAAATCCACAAAAATTACTTTTCCGTTTTCTTTTCAGCTGCGTACCAGGCTTTAGATGTTATAATGGTAATTAGTACTTGTAAGCAGGGTTGCTTCCACTCACTTGCTATAAAAAATTGTTTTTCGGAATAATTAAATCATTAGATGTTATAATGGTAATTAGTACTTGTAAGTTACAAGAAGGGGTCGTGGAGTATGTCTTTGGCATATAAAACCTGTAAATATTGCTTTTAGTGCGTCACAATCAGCGATTTGACGATTCGTGAGCGCTCACTCTGAGTGAACGCTCACGAATCATAAGATTGCTGATTGTGACGCTCTGAAAGCGAAATTGACAGGTATTATGAGACAACCACATACGTCACGACCTCTTCTTGTAACTTACAAGTACTAATTAACATTATAACATCTAATGACTTAATAATTCTGAAAAACGATTTTTTATAGCAAGTGAGTGGAAGCAACCCTGCCGTTGGTGATTGGCACTAGATTGCGGAACAGAGACCGACGTTAAATAAAGGAAAGAAGAAGAAGATTTTTCTTGTGTAGAGTTTCTAGATAATTTTTCAGACCGCAGTGAGATGTCAACCACTCTTCTGAAATGTCCGCGAGCAGCATCGTCTCCAAGTCCTTTTCGTCTGACCAATGAAGATATCATTACAATCTGGGGTGGACAAGAGATTTTGTAGGCACCGGCTTTTCCTAAGATATTTATTGCATCTTTTGTTGATCCTAACAATGACTCCAACTGATTTGTCCTGTTGCTGAATACTAAATTTGGCCAAAACTTCTAAACTTCGAACTCAATGGTTTGATAATGGTTTTGTCGAAATTCACCGCTACCCGTTTTAAACCTTCAGTTACTGGTGTAAGAGTTGTCAAAGTACGCCTATAATTATTGTTGTTTTACCGATAACTGCCTGAATTGTTTTTTCTTGATACCCATTAGGTCTAGAGATTTAAAAAAAAAATGTAAGCTATTTCCTTTGATTTGCCTGTATCGCTCGGAGAAAGAGTTTGCATCCTGTGAACCATGTGGTAAAAAGCGTCCATTTTGTGTTGATGGGAATGGTTTGAAGAGCTTGATATTACTCTGTTTGTATTTGTTGGTTTCCTATAGATTTCAAATTTGAACGTTTGACGTTTCCCTGATGATGATCGCTAAAAGACTGAAAGCCGATAAAATTTATTTACAAAACAGTCCACAAGTCGATAGCATTAGTATAATTGATGAAAAGATCTAAGAAAGGAAGTTTGCCGTCTTTCTCTTCTTGGTGAGTAAATTTGAAGTCCTTATGACCTTACGGCCGAAATTTTTTTTTATTTTCGATAAATCTTCCTTCTTGACAATTCTAAAAATGTCATCCACGTACCTATACCAACACTTGGGCAACAAATTCCTATCCTCCAGAATATTTTCTAGGTTACTGTGTTACCTGACTTCTAACGAATATACGTTGTAAATATACGAGTACCCCGAGTACAACGTATAGTTCGTCTAATTTTACATTGCAAATGCTATGCAAAATTAGACGAGTCATACGTTGTATTCGGAATACTCGTAAACAACGCATCCTCGTTATAACATCTGACACAGTAGCTATGAACAATTCACATAAAAATGGGGAAAGCGGATTGCACATAGTAGCACCTTTAGTTTGTTTATAAAAATTTCATCTGAAAATGAAATAAGTTTCCTCCATACAAAGACAAGTAAGCTTGAGATATGACCAAACTTTGTTTTTCCAAGTAGAATCCTCACGTTGCTTCAGAAGCCAGTCCTCTAAAAGGCAGATGGCTTTCTTTACTGGTACACTCGGCAAAAGTGCAGTGACATCAAATAAAACCATGACTCCATTTTCCCGAATCTCTCCTGATGCCTGAAGTTGATTTGTGAATTCCTGTGTGCTGTTAACTGAGCGAGTGGCAAAGGGGTTAGGCATATTTCAAAGTTCCTTTACTACACAGCAAAACATAAATTTTAATATTACATCCAATTACATCTACCACTCCGATTGAGCAGTATTGTAGTGAGAGTTGGTCGTGGTAGTCTTCATCTTCTTCTTCTTATTCATTCCTTTATTTAACGTCTCTGTTCCACAATCTAGTTCCACCAGCACAGACGAAAAATCGTCTCTTCTAGCAAAGATTGATAGATTCTTATGGAAATTTTCAGTAAAGTGAAAGGATAGTACGAAGTCCGGCATGTTTCACGTGCAGTCTGACGTTTGCTTATGGATTTTACCATAGGAGTAAAGAGCTACAGAGTCGCCGTCAACGCCAATCACCGACGGACATTGATTGCCATCGATTGACAGCAATCGAATGTGCAGGAAGGCAGCTTCCACACCTGCCTAGGATATCGCACCCATTCAAACACACATGGGCCAGGACCAACGGCTTGCTTTACTTCCCTTCCGAAGGAAGACGTCACCAGAGATTTTTATGCCTCAGAAAAATTCCACCGACCTCGGCTGGGATTGAAATCGTGGTAGTCATAGCAAGCGAATTGTCTGTATCGTTGGTTGCTTTATGTGTTTGGATCCGCAGAATGTCATTGAAGTTTGTGCAAAAACAAATACACCTCGAGAAGGAAAAACTTCGCTTAGATAAATATGAAGCCTAGCCCAAATAACATTGCAAGTTTTATCGAGGTTTTAAAGCATTCTACAAGTTTAAACAATAGTCTAATGAACCCTCATAAAACCAAATTTCATACTTGGGAGATACGGTGCTGCATTTTACCAACATGAAACATTGAGAATCAATGTCATCAATGTAAAATTTGTCATCCAACGAAAACTCGCTCCCTGATTTGTCGTGACATTCCGTCATCTGTATAGTATATATTTTTCTCAGATTCTTAATAATATTCCTATGATTTTCTTTGGATGCTGTCTTCGTCTATTTCATCAGAATATGCAAGCATTTCCTCAAGTCATATTTCTTCAGTGAATAATATTATCGTGGATAATTGTATTACACATGGTTGGTTTTTCATGTCAGGGCCCGATAAGGTCCCAGCAAATCACACTAACTTTGAAGTATATTTAACAATTCCTTATGTTTTTGGTTTGGTTTTGATTTTACACAATGTCTTAACTTGCTTGCCTTACCGACTAGTAAATCTACAGTTCAATTCAATGGGCATCTGTTTGGTATAACCTGATTTAAAACGGTCGTTTTGCTTTATTTGTTGTGGGTCCACTACAAATCGTCAGCGCGCTAAAATAACCGAATTTCCGATCGATACCAAGCTTGTCTAACGTTTCACACCGAAAAGATTCGGGATGGATTTGATCTTCTTCTTGGACCCATTGAGGTACTCTTTGTACATGTCGGACCGAAGGTACCGCGAGTATGAGTCACTCTTCATCAGGTGATACACGTGGGCGGCGGCCACATCAAAACACCACCGATTCGGTGGCGCTGAACTGCTCACCGCTTCCCGGGCCAACTCCATCGATTTCGAATCTACGTTCACCGGGCAGGCCGCATCCGGGGCCAGAAATTCCAGATAGATTGCATGGGCCGCTTCCTTCACCTTTGATTGCGGCTGCGCTTTCATGCTCTGGACCGATTCCCAAAACCTATTTATTCGAAAATATTGAGTGATATTTTTGTCACTGGCAAAATGTTACTTACTTCAAATTTTCTCCGCTAAACTCTTTGTCCAAAAACTTTGAAAATTGCTCCCTTCCGACCGGATCGATCAATAGTTCTCGTAAGCTAAAGCCCCATCGTTTCACGCGTTTTAGCGATACGTCTTTGCTGTTTGGAGGAAAATTCAAATCAAAAAATGGTATACATACCACGAGCAATCTACACTTACGCAGTTCGATCAGTGTCCCACATTTCAATATTGTCCGTAATCCAAGGGTTTGGCTGATCAGGTGTCGTGAGGAAATAATCGTATTCGTGATACTGTTCAAAATATGATATATAACTGAAACGAAAAACGTCGGAATTAGGCAGCAAATTCGCACCAACTCTCTCATCGTCCCAACACTTACGATTCGGCTACTTTGGAGATCTTAATAGTTCTACGTTCTAACTTGAGTTTCAAGAGCTTAATTTGTCTAGTGAGTTGCTCGATTGGATTGCTATTGACGGCCGCGCCGGATGAGCCTGAGCCGTGCGTGGAGGCACCACGGCGGTACGCCTTCTTAATATCGACCTCGGTAGTGTTAACACAACCTGGCATCGGACGGTGTACATCCCAGAATGCACGCTCCTGTGAGTCGAGCACCTTTCGTTCCAGTTTATCACGTTTCTTGTCCACCTTGCTCTGGGCTTCCGCTTGCATGAAGATAAATTCCCACTTTCGGGAAAACATCTTCTGCAGCTTGGCCAAGTTCTCCGCTTCGTAATCCGCCAACTCCAGACGGGTCTTGTTTTGCATCGTCCGCTTACAGAGATACACTGCGTAGTCGGTGTTTTCCGGTTCCCAGCAGTTGGATGGCCAAAAGTACGGTGTCTGAAAACGGTAGAATGTCCCGTCGTTCTTTACCGTGAGCTGATGGTCATCGATTGGAAATAGGTAGCCATGGGATGCCAGTAGATGTGCAATATGCAACGCTTCCGTAACATCATCGATTTTAAGATTCTTCATGATCCACGCGATCAGATCGGAACCAGTAAATACGGACGGTACTTTACTCATGAAAGCTTTGATTGTACGCACAGAAACGCCAGCCTCCTCGCTTTGCATGCGCTCGACTATCGCCTCCATCTAGAATGGAAACCATTGTATTATTTCACACCCACTCATTTCATTCATCCACGCAAACAACTCTTGATAAACATTTCAAAAGGTCCTATCTGCATTGATCGATTCTCTTCATCGACTAGATAGGTAGGTAGGCTTTATCAAACTATGTGCTAGAATTAGCGCAAAATCTGTTTGCATAGCAGTGGTTATGAAAAGAGAAAGTCGATGAAGAGAATCGATCAAAGCAGATAGGACAATTTGAAATGTTCATCATAGTTACTAACCTTTCTGTAAACTAAAATATTCGGTGCATCTTGATTCATGACGACCTGTGTGCTGTGCGATTGGCTACCTCGGCTTCCACCCGGGACTGCAGAACTGCCAGCACTGGTCCCGCAAACAGGCGGATTGCTGGCGTTGCTTATTGCGTTCTTGTCTTTGTCCTTCTCCCGGTCTTTGTCTTTATCCTTGTCTTTCTCGTTGGACGCCATTTTCTTCGGAACGATTATTGATACTGCCTTGTCCTTGTCGATCTCCGTAGTCATCGTTACCATCGTCCCATCGATGGTTCCAATCCACAGCTGGGTTCTACTCTTTACGGGTTGAATCTGTAAATAGTGTGGAATTTTTTGTTCATCTAGTACACTTCAGTTGGTTGGCTGTAGAACGAAAGTCTCTCCCTCTACACTCAAAAAATTTCACACGTTTGATCGAAGTGTTTAAACACTTGATTTTTTAAATGCAGAATCACATTTACTTTAAGTGTATTTCACCTTGGTTCAATGTGTTATACACGTTAATTTATAGTGTTTCAAACTTTGAAATGTTGAAATTTTTTCACTATCTATTCAAGTGTATTGCACATTGAATCACGCTACTGTTCAAAACAGATGGATTTAAAGTGTTTTGCATTTCAATACGATGTGAATTGCTTGCTCAGAAAGGTAAACATCTATAACAAGAGTTGTGACTTTATCCTATCAACCTGCCTCATATATGAGAACAACCGTGGCACAGTGAGATCGAACGAAGACTCCGGCAGCAGCATACCCCAACAGTCCATGATCGAATCCCAAATCAGACCCATTTAAAATATATGTGGAAGCTCTGGCCTCTGGCAGTTTTGTTTATATTTATATATTTGTCGATTCATTTTTAGAGTCGGTAAAATAGAATTCGATAAAGTAGAATATTGTAGAATATTGAACTATGGTGTGCAAAGCTATTGATATCACCATATGAGGCACATAGAATCCAAGTGTGTCACAATTCAAATCCATAGTGTTCAGGCATGGTTCATAGCATAAGATTCACACATGAAATGGATGTGTTTCACAATATGCGCAAAATTAAGTGTGAGACACATGATGATGGCGTGTGAAATTTTTTGAGTGTAATATATAACTAGGGTGAGCCGGCCATCCGGGGTAAGACAGTCATTAGGGTGGGTAAAGTTTGCATGCGGATTGCAACCCCTTGATCATTTTGATTTTTTTAAAGTCTCCAAGGACTGTAGCCAATTTAAATTATTTTGGATGTGATTTGGTTTTGTGGGACAAATCAAAAGTAAGTTTCGATTACAGTACGAGAAACCCATACCTGAAGCTTAGATAGCAAAAATAATGCTCAACAACTATGTCGAAGACCGTAAATCCACAAACGAAGTGACAGACGACTAACTGGCGAAGAAATCAATTAAAATAATGTGGTTCGCTGTAATAGAATTTTCTTAGAAGCTTGTGCCATCAGCCACCAGATGGGCTAGTATTTTTGTTTTGATTTGAACATAGTTGATTTTGTGTGCAATATGATCTTTGATAGTGTGCAAAGAGTGTATCATTTTGTCATTTTTTTATGCATTTCAGTTTAGAGTAGAGTGAAAGAGATAGAACCAAAACAATCCAGCAGTAGTGGCATGATGGTCTAGACCTTCACTAGTACTCTCCATAATCCGATATTCCCACAAGTCGATGTTCTAAGTGGTGTTAATTTGATTAGATGACTCGATATGTTAAAAGTAGAGCTTCTGTATTCTGTGATTCTGATGCTAAAACCAAAGAACCCTAACTCAAGAGCACTCTTAAAAAAAAAATTGTATGCAACATTCATTGAGACTAGGCAAGCAAGCTTCATTCCCCGATTCTGGGTACTGCGGGCTCAATCGATTTTATTTTGCCAATGAAAACTGCTTGAAAATTTTCTCCAGTATAAAATTGTTTTGTTATTCGTCAATGGATTCCCGCTAAAACCTGTGAGCCAGGAATACTAAGTCCCTATGACTCTAATAAATTTTGCTTACATATTATATGTTTTATTTCAATTGAAAACCCTGATGAGTCATCAAAACTGTACTGATTTTTCTGCTTTTGTCACTAAGCCTGCTGGTTTCTGTAATTGTGCGTACAATTATTGGTGTGTTAAGAAAAAGTATGATTGACAATACTTGAATATTGGTAAGAAGAGTAACCACATTTGTGGCTTCTGAATGTTTGTCTCCCGTTTGACAGTTCACACTGGCGCGGCGCCCAGCTGACAAGCATATTAAATTAGTCCGCAGTGACCAGCCCCGAAAAGGTCGCGAAATGTCGTTAGTGAGTTTCATTACGATATATTAAAGGAAACATTATTTAAAGAGTTACATCTGTTTGTCTGTGGTGCGATCGATTAAATCTCATGAACAAATGATTTAATCATTTATGAGTATGTTAGACTGCATATACCTACACATACAACATTTTTTCATACGACATATTCAAGATTAAGAATTACTATAACAGTCGTAATTAATGGACTTAAAATGCAAGTAATGTCTAGGGTAATGTTCTACTCTGTGTAATTAATGTAATTAAAGCAGTAGGTAATAGAATTAATTTAATTACAGCCGTTGCCTGCGTCGGAGTTAAAGGTTATCGCGTGGCGCTAGATGTCACACTAAATTTAGGAAAATCAAGCACCCTATTTTGATTGAATGGTCCTTTATCAAATTCATTACTTATCACATATATAAAACCCCGCCTATCCCGAGAATGAGAGGTATATTTACATCTATCGGATGAAAGTCTCTTTCTCACCAATGCTTGGTAGTCATAAGTTAGAGTGAGGCATCTGTCTTACACCCATCAGTCTTTTGGCGTTAACGACTATCTCTGAGCTAGGACACTATCTTTACTCCAACGATGTTTCTCATTTTCGTGTGTGTAAAAAAAAGCAAAAAATATTCCCTCTTTTACTTTCTAACGTAAACCGCTAACCAAATCATCATACTTATCAACGCCAATTGATAGAGGCGCGGTACTTTGGCACGGTGCCGCACGGTGCACACCAAACCACTTTAGCATGGCACCAAGCAAATCAGAACGGCTCTTCGGTACGGTTTCTTCTTCGCATTGGTGGCGAGCAAGGAAAAGGTACCGAAACCAAGTGCGTGTTCGCTTCAGGAGCGAGCAATATTTCAGCACGATGTGCGGTACCGTGCGGTGTTCTGACACAGGCATCGAAAGCTCTCAATTAATAACCGTGAAAGTGTATCTAGAACACTATGTTAAGAGCACCTAATAGGCTAATATACAATAAGCAATAAGACTGAAATGTGAAGAAAAAGTAGAAGAAGAAGTAAAAGAAGAAGAAGAAGAAAGAAGTCATGAAAACTGAACTTTTGGAATGTTTAAAATTATGGACTCTTAAAAATTGACACACAGTGTTCACTCGGCTGTCGACCAAAGCAGGCCACTCTCGATGTGTGCCACGCGATCGTCTGTTTTCTTGGCAGCAACCATTGTGTGGTCCTCCTCATTGTTCTTCATCAGCAGTTCTTTCGGTCGATGCGTCATCGACTTTGGAAAGCAACCGTTTCGTGATGAGTGTGTGAGTGCTGACCACGTTTTGCAATGGAAGCGCTCTGCCCCTCGATGGCGTAACTGCCATTCAATGAAACCACTGGAAGCGACTCCAGTTCTGATGGACGATTCTTTTTGGATAGCGGAAGATAAAATGTTTATTGTGTTGTACCTTTTGACTATATTTTTAAGATGTATTGTATAGTGACCAAGAATCCTCGGCTCTGTAAAGTAAATTCGTTTGAGCCTTATCAAATAAATTAAATTAGCAATAAAAAAAAATTGACAAACATCGTACAACAAGAACTTTTGGTACAATTTTTGAACTTTTGTGAAATTTTTTTTAATGTAATTTATACAAAATAAAATGTTTGAAATATTTTAAATCATTTTCTGTAAAAAAATACACATAAGCGCGAACATAAAAAAAAGTTATTGTTTACGATTTATGTCAATTTTCAAATGTCCATGGTATTAAAAATTTAAAAAGTTTGCATATTTCATAAGTTTTTTTTCATAGCGGCTCCGGTGGTGTAGTGGTAAGTGTGATTTCCTCTCACTCCAGCAGGCCTGGGTTCAATCAATCCCAGTCGGCACCACCGGCATGTTCTGAGACATAACATCTCTGCCCAAGTAACAGTTTGAGTTTAATGAGGGTTCTGAAGACCATGATTTAGACTTGTAGAATGCTTTAAAACTATGATAAAACTTACAATGTTACTTGGGTGATCACGCCTTCCGTTGGTCCCCGGTCGGCCTCGGTAGCATAGACGAGTGCACGGATGGATTTGAGTTTACTCACTCGACAAAAAGTGACACAACAGCGAGGCCCTGTTTACTAAAAATGAACACATGAATAATATTCGCAACTTTTGTACACAAGACTTGTTAAGCCCTTTTCGCGCGAACCGAATACGCCCACGCAAACTTCCAACACCACAGGGTAGGGGAAATTCTCCCCTTCCCAATAGTACTCTTGGTTTGCGTGGGCGTACTTCGGTTCTAGTGAAAAAGACCTAGTAAATTATATACAAAAGCTGATAGGCCCTTTTCAAATATTACGCGAGAATTATTCATGTGTTCATTTTTAGTAAACAGGGCCCCACTGTTGTGTCAACTTTTTTTCAGTAGATGAGCAAAAGTTCACCTGTGCAATCGTCTATTGGTGCTCAGCACGGAAAACAAGAACGACAAAAAACAAATCAAGGGAAAAAATAAGTTTTTTTTTTAATTTTCAAAAATTTTAACCATTTTTTTTCTGAAATACTTCATTTTTCTCTACAACCTTGTTTCAGAAGACATTTCGATCAGAAATATCGTTTCCGTGCTACTATATTTTTAAAAAGTCTGCCGATTTGAAATTTTTACATTATCCAAAATGGCCGAATTCTGGCATAAATGTGAATCATTGCCCATAACATACAGTTACGCAACGTTTGATGCAAATCGGAGAAGGATTCAAACATTCATTTTTATCAGGCAAAAATCGCAGCAGAGAAAAACAACACGTCAGCCTACTTCGAACTCTTGCAATGCTGCCAGTTGATTATTTATCATATCAAGACCAACAATTGAAAAGGCATCAACTCCATTTTGTAAATAAACCTTGTAAGGCCATTTTATCGCGAACCGAATACCGCCAACGCAAACCAACCAAAGGAACAGGTATGGGGAAATTCTCCTATACCCGATTGTGTTTTAGGTTTGCGAATGTAGGTTTCGGTTCGCGAAGAAGTGGCCTTAAAAGGTTTGTTTACAAAATGGAGTTGAGGCCTTTTCAATTGTTGTTCTTGATATGTTGGGAATGCTCTTATTATTGACTATCAAAACTTTAAGAGATGAACTAGCCTCAGGCTAAAAATCTCCAAAATAAAGAAAAAAAAAAAAAAAAAAAAAAACTATCAAAACTCTATCAAACTATTCAAATTTTATTTTAATAATTGTTTTGGCAGAAAACATTATAAATCTGAAATATAGAAATGTGTCAAAACTCAGCATACTATCTATCAGCACAATATAAAGTTAATCAAAATGTCTTTTTATGCGCATATTGCCTCTCCAGCCGTTTTACGACATTTCCCCCTATTTAAGCTAGTTTGCTCACAATGGTCAATGCGGAACCCCAAAGCTTAAGAACCCCTGGTCCTAGAAAATAAAACGTCCCGATCACATTGAACAGCTTTAGGGAAAGCACTATACTAAAAGTACACCACGATCATCAATCATTTTCTGGAGAACTTGCGTTGATAGGCGTTGTGAAACATGAAAGTGAAAAACATGATCACCATTCACCATTTGCTTTACGACAACACAGTCCGATGAGATACTACGATTGGCATTCTAAATTATTGACTAGACTCGAAGTCACCAGCCATCGTGCATCAGTTTGCTTATATCGATAAACAAGTACCCACTTACGTATTGGTTCTCAGTTGTTGCACCCCACCCCCACAGGAGGATGCTATTTTACTGCCACCCTTCTTGTCACTTTTTTCCCCGTAGTACTACATCCTCTCTTCGATAACATATTGCTTACTGCGCGAGGGAGTAGAGATACGGTTTGATTCTCTCGCTCCGACGGCAGTAAAAAGATTCTCCGGCCCGTGAAGTTTCTCATTACTGGTTGTGGATCTTTGGGCGCCCATATTTGTTTTCCCTCGTAGGTATATGCCTCACGTTAAATGTCTGCTAACTACTTGAACCCACTTTTTTGGACCATAATTTATCAACTTACATTATCCTCACTGGCCTCCCCTGGTTGCCGGAACTCATCCCGCATTCACAAGATGTGAGCACCTGGAACCGGTGGTGACTCTGGCGCTGCTGTTCACTTGTAAAAAGCTCAAATTATATCGAAATGAGCGAAAATTCCTTGCGATGCTCGATTAGCGCTGAAAATTGCTCGCCATATCACTGGTACCGAAGTCACCCTCCGGTTTGTCTGCTATGTCTCCAGCCGCCCTTTTTCAGCCTCTATCCTACGACGCTGCCTGCTGATACGTTCATCATGGGGAATCCAATTTGTGATTCATTTTTTTTTTTCATTTCGCTTTGCTCAAAAGATGGATGGAGTTTTACGATGGAATTTCCTCTGCACGTTTTCGATTAGGAATTCTTTCAATCACTCTGATGGTTTTCGCGATTATTCACTGTAGATCGTAAAACTATTTTTATGCAAAAGTATACTTGGAGAGGGTGTATGGTGCTCAGAAAAGTGTGAAAATTGGAGTGAAATTAGAAACACTTGTAGGCGAACTCGGCACGTACTTTTCACATAGTTTCTGTTGAGCACCACACTGCTTGATTTTCGTTTCGCCCAAAATCTGCTGGCTTCTATGGCGAATCACTCATTTTCACTTTCAATTCCACTTGTTAGAGGATCCGGTTGTTGGAAAATTCACCATACATTCACGCAAAACTATCGCAGACTGCTTGAAAGCCAGGGTCAAAAGCGGATAGATGGAAAACCGAAACAGTATAGCAAGAGAAAGAAGAGGACAAATTGGGGAAAATGTCCCACACTGTTCTTTTAGGAGACCTTCCACACGCACTTACTCTCACGACTGGTAAACGGGTAAAGTTCTCTCGCTCTCAACGGGGCCCTGCTCTTGTACGGTGGTGGTCCATCTGGCTGGAGGACGAATGGGGTGGTTGCCACCCACCGATTACCAGTGTTGTTACTAACGTCTAATCGTCACTGAAAGCTTCAGCCGTGTTCATGCGAGCAGACCCCTCCGTACAAACGTTTGTTCCCTTCGATTTTCAACGACCAACTGAGTTCTGCTGCAGTCACAGCGCGTATAGCCAACATCTGCCGTCGTGACTAACTATGCTGGGAGAAAACGGCTACCCCTTCGTCCGGCTTGAACATTTTATCCAGACTGTAGGTAATATGCATCTCGTTTGCTCTCGCAGGGCTCGCGTGTCGACTCTCGCACTACCAGCGGACGATTATAAGAATTATTTATTATTCCACGCTGTACCGCCGTGTATTGGTGCACCGATTCGACATGGTTAACACGCTAATCAGGAAAACATTCCAAGTTTTCCTACTGGTATATGTGTGTCAATTTCAGAGAGGCGGTCGACCTATATGGATATTTTTGAAAGAAATTTTACTGGGATATCTTGTGATAATATAATCTATTCAAATGGTCTGTTATACAAGCGATAGTAAATCAAGCGTTGTTTAAAACCGGTACTGAAATCAAAATATTGTGATAATATTACTTTCCAAATTTTGGTCAAGGAATTAATTTGGGTGAATCGTATTGGTATTTCTTCATTTTTGTTCGATTTGTTTATTGAATTCTCGGTTTCGTCTCGACCGTCAAACGTTCCGAAAATGCTCTGAGCAGATGTTTCAGGGTCCTTCAGGAAACAGAGTCCCAGTTCGCCAAGAAATGTATGATTTGGCAGGCGGTTTGTTCGTGCGGAAAACGGAGCAAGCCCTTCGTAGCAACTAAAACCGTAAATGGTCTAGTCTACATGAATGACTGCCCGAAGAAACGACTGCTTCCGTTTCTCAAACCACGCAACGTTCCTCAAACTTTTGGCCGGATCTAGCCTCTTACTTTGTGAAAACCGAAAATGGAACATGTAACAAATTAAGAAAGATTTTGAAAGTTAATAACTCAGCTGCCCCTGGTCCAATTTCAATAATTTTTATCAACCATCGATCAGAAATATGGCTACGCATCGATAACAATGCTTCCGAATGTTGATTTTCAACAAGAAACTATTGCAAAACTGGTAAATGTCCAGAATTGTCCAAAAGTGTCGAATTAACTAACAAATCCACCAATTACCTACATGCATATGCTGCTTCCCCAGCACAGTCGCCAGAGAGTAGTAAGTAGACGAAACAAGTCGAAGTGGCATTCGCCTCCGATCCTCGGGCGCGTACGAATAGGGAGCATGGAATTGCGTAATATTTTGCACACTCATCGCCATACTCAGAACAACACGCTCCCAACGACCACACCACTGTCGTCGAAATTAGTAGCAGCAGTAGCAGTGCTTTCGGCGTGTGGCGTTGAAAATTGTTCTTCAGTAACAACGAAAGGCTGCCTGCAAGCAGCGAGCTGCAGAGCCCACATAAGCAACCATCAAAGGAGGAAGAAGCTGCACCGCTATGCTATGGATCGGAATCAGTAGCTCTTCGTGAGTCGCTGTGGGTCGGTCATCTATGCCAAGCGTGTCACCCTCGCACAGTGGTTCAAACCTACCGAAAACGTGCGTTTTTTTATTTTGGGTATGTAAACGTCATTTTGGAAGGGTAGTGTCTTGAGAGAAGTTGTTAGATACTTGGTAAGCTTTGTTTTGAAGTAAGTAAAATTAGGATCTATCCACCAAGAAGGGCAATAGAAAATTCAAATTTTGTAAACATGCTCAAAAGTGGTTGGCATTTCCAGCAAAGTTGTATATAATGCAAATACTAGCAACTTTGCTGAAAATGTCAATATCGTATACTCAATGTATGGTGAGTTAACTGACGTTTTTATGAAAACTTCCTCAAAAATCATTTTTTGTTAGAAAAAATGTTCAAAATTTTATTTTAGCAGTATGATTTGTTGAAAAAAGTTGTAGATATCATCAAAACACGCATTTTATTAGAAGACATTAGGTTGTTATAATGAACCTATCAAAAGTTATTCAATATTTTAACACAAAAATAGGTCATTTTCTACGCAAAATATCTGGATAACGGGCAAATACGGGCAAGCCAAACCATCTTCATTCAAAAAGTTTGCCTTTGAACTACAAAATACAAGTGGTTCCATTAGGTTCTGATAGGTTCTACGCTTGGCATGTTAGAAATACATTTGCCATACTATCAACAACATCCAACCTCTACAACACGTCATCTCTCATTCAAACAACACTGTATAGCTTTTTCGGCTTCACATCATGATCCTAGCAAGCCATGATAAAAACAACTTTCTAGAACAAATCATACTGCTAAAATAAAATTTTGAACATTTTTTCTAACAAAAAATGATTTTTGAGGGAGTTTTCATAAAAACGTCAGTTAACTAATCATACATTGAGTGTACGATATTGACATCTTGAGCAAAGTTGCTAGTATTTGCATTATCTATAACTTTGATGAAAATACCAACCACTTTTGAGCATGTTTACTAAATTTGAATTTTCTATTGCCCTTCTAGGTGGATAGATCCTAATTTTACTTACTTCAAAACAAAGCTTACAAAGTATCTAACAACTTCTCTGAAGACGCTACCCTTCCAAAATGACGTTTAATACCCAAAATAAAAAACGCACGTTTTCGGTAGGTTTGAACCACTGTGCCTCGCTCCAAACGACATACAGCTCGACAGCCTCATCCGTGTTGAACACCCAGCTCAGAATTACTCAACCATCACTACAAAACGGTCCTTTTCAGGGCCACCAAAAATTTGTTAAAGAGTATTATTTGGACATTGGTCAACGTCATCAGTTCCCGCAAGTAGCTAGCTATCAAGGCTCAACCTGTCTATAGAAGGTGTGGAACTGTAGGCCTGAATATATTGGTGCAATTAGTTTTTCCTCGGCTTTCATTCCGCACGATTCGTTTCTTTCGTTTAATCAATCACCCTTGTAGTGACGTCGAAAAGATTGTTTCAATCGGCGCTTACATATGAAATTTAATGTGGATTATAGAATTTTTGTATGTTACCAAAAATTATGAATGGTTTGCCACTAAATGTTGAGATTTATTATCGAATTATCACACTGTATACCATGAAAAAGCAGCCTGTTTGTTATTTTTTTGACTCTTTTCAAGTAAGGAGTTATCATAAAAAAAAAACAAATCGCCAGCTGGTATTTCCCGGCGACTTTACAAATAAATAAAATCAAACAAAATCATCATGCAGAACTAGCTAGGATTTGTTTTACTTCATATTTCGCAAAATTGCTTTCGAGTGTTAAGACATCGTCTCCCGCAAAGTTTACATTTTTCCCTCTACCAACACATACATCAGGGCTAAATAGATCTCCACAGGATCTATAGAATCCACGCAATTTCAAAAAACCAAAATGCACAGCATTACGAAAAGAGGTCAGGTTTCGACCAATAGCAGATAGATTTTAATTCTTAATAAGCCAAACGATTGGAAATTTATCTACCAATCTGCTAAAATGAACACTTAGTTAATTTTCAATAGGTCACTATTAATCATTTTGTTCGACCATTTTCCACAGAGATGGCACTGTTCCGCTGGTAGGAAGTGATAAAAATTCCCATATAGAAATTGAGAGAAGTGGGAGTAATTCGCATTCGGTGCATATTCATGTGAAAAAAAAGTGGACAACCTAAAGAAATTAATCAGGGACTTGACGTTCAGTTTTTTTTTCCGGAAATTATTGTTAAACAAGCTACAATTAAATAAAAATGATTTTTACCCATTCAGTTTTACCTGATTTACTATCAGCTCCCAGAGAGCCAAAACATTCAAATTTGAGAGAGAAAATTTTCTCTCACGACCTCAATCTCTCAACATGCCATGTATTTTGTTGACACTCGATTTGTGATTCCCGTTCCACAGATTACAAAATACAGTACCTGTCACTACAAAACATGTCTGGTACCTATATATATGCATTTGCTATAACATATTTTTTACATATTCTGCGCAAAAAATACTTTGAATCCCGCCCCATACATAAAATTCGGCGGGAAATTTTGTGATGGGTGAGCTATTTCGTGTGCAGAATGCGTAAAAAAGGAGGGACTTCGAATAATAATCTAAATGCATATATAGTGGGACCAGACATGTTTTGCACTGCTGTGTCCTCTGTGAACAATTATAGGAAAACAGATTGTGTCTAGTTTCCGATAGATGTCACCGCAAACAACAGCTGTGACATCTGATGGAACATGAATGCAGAAGCTTGATAAAATGATTAATTGAAAAATACCAAATGTCCAACTGTTGCAATGGTGATCAAAATTATCACCGAATGTCTGAAAACAGCGCATTCCCTAACACAGACATAAAAAACGAATTCGATGCGGTCCCACTGAACGGTGCTCATTCACCGTAAGTGGTGGTGTCCAGTCCAGCAGCAGCAGTAGTAGCAGCAGCAGCAGCAGCAGGAGTGCTTTCAACAACAACAACGAAAGGCTGCCTGCAAGCAGCGAGCTGCAGAGTTCATATGAGCAACCATAGAGAAGGAGGAATAAGTCCTACCGCTAGGCTAGGATCGGAATCAGTAGCTCGTCGTGCTCAGCTCTGCATTACTCAACCATCACTACAAAACGGTCCTTTTCAGGACCACCATAAATTTGTTAAGAGTATTATTTGAACATTTGTCAAGGTCATCAGTTCCCACAAGCAGCTAGCTATCAAGGCTCAACCTGGTCTCTATAGAAGGTGTGGAATTGTAGGCCCGAATGTATTGGTGAGATTAATCATCGTCCGACCATCTTCCAGAACACGCTGGTAGGAAGTGTTAAAAATATATATTGAATTTGAGAGAAGTGGGAATAATTCGCTTTGGGTGTATATTCAGTCCCCAGAAAGCCAATAAATCAAATTTGTGAGAAAATTAGCTCTCAGGAGTTCAATCTCTCGAAGTCCCTCCTTTTTTACATATTTTGCACAAACAATACTTTCCGCCCCGCCCCATTCATATAATTCGGAAGGAAATCCTGTGAGGGGTGATTTGAATACACTTTAATACCAAAATGCACAAAACTTAA